TATACACATAAACATAACACTAATGCTTTTTGTATCACCTTAATTAAATAAGATGATATTTATTTATGATGTTCATTCATTTTTTAAAGAAATTAGAAAATTTTTCTACTTGTACTGAACATGGTTTATATTACTGAGCACTTCATTAAAAATTCCTTTTTCTAACAAAAAGGCCCATAACCATAAGACCGTTTTTTGTCCACGAGAGTTTCGCTATTTTTCGATTAAAACGTACTAGGGTGATATCTGGATCATATCCCATCACGTGATTTTGTGAAATTTTGATATGAGATTTTTGACATCTGTGGTACCTACCCTTCAGTATTTTTTTCAAATGTGTCTAAAGTCTAGTGGATGTATTTGCGGATGGATACTTATTTACTTGCAAATTTCTACGGGTACTTGACAAGCACTTGACAAGTATTTTCAAAAAATACTACTTGATAAATGTCTGAAAGCACTTTTCAGGTATTTGATTTACTTGTTGAACCATCCACAGGTACTGGAAGATTACTTGGGCAAGTACTTAGCAAATGACTTGACAAGAAGATAAAGTAATTCAAATACTTGGTTCACTTGCAAAAAAAGCTCAAGAACGTTGGACAAAACCTGCGAGGATACTTGACAAAGTACCTGCGTGAAAGTACATTCACTAGGGCTAGACTCAGTTTTTAGTGCAAATCATGAATATCACATTTAAAATTGAAAAAGTGTTGTTCTGATGGAGAAAAGTCAACTTTACTGGAAAGAGAATAATAGCATGCACTATCAAAGTTCATCATACCATCACTACCAAATAGATATTCCAACATTTTAAAAATAGTCCAGAATGTGCAGTAATATTTGCTCTTTCTAAAGTGAGGCCTTAAAATGGTGACACTTTTATGGATTATTTTGATTAAAACAGTGAAAAACCCAAAACGGCCTGGTATGTAAAATTGTTAATATTACTATCAATTCATTTGCGCTTGAACTAATGTCTGCAATGTTTGAATCGATGTAGCTCTTCACTTGCCATCGAAATACTAGTTTTAAACAAAATTATACTTCATGGGAAAGTATCGAAAATTGAGTCGATTTTTGGGAGCAAAGCTGAATTTTGCCATGAAAACTGAATTTAATGACAAAGAAACTCGATATTTTGAATCTACATCAAACATGAAGTCGAATGAGATATGGTACAGGATTCTCTAGAAACTTCAATTTTACCCTGAAAATTCGTATTAGGTCTCTCCAAGTTGGTCTTTAAGGTCAGATTAATGATTTCTTTTTAATGTAGGGTCGATTATTCATGAACCTATTGATGGCTCTACAGATATGAAAAACATTGATGAACAAGAGTTGGTGTGCAACCGTACAAAAAAACGAAGGAAAAGAGAAGAATGTCCACTAAATTCACTCATTCTTGATAAGTCTGCGGGTTACTATTATCTTTTTAATCAATTTTAGTGTACAAATTTACACATGATTGATCTTTTTAAAGATTCTCAGTCATCTCACCATATATTCAAAAGATAACAGCTGAAAATTCTCGACATGAAGTCAGCGGGATTATTTTCATCTGAACAATGGACAACACTATACATGTATGTCGAAGTCGTTACACATTCTTCTAGTTAAAGTCTACTTTTCACATACCACAATATACTTATCTAAAAAGCTTCTCCATTACTCAGCTCCTGTTGTAAAACGAATGATATAGCAATTGTATCATTTGCCAAAATTCATTTGATAAAAATTTTCTTCACAAATAATTCTTTCAAGCGGTTAAATGAATCTAATTACGTCAGATATTACTGAGAAAGACATTTTTTTTTCTGTATCTTACAGGAAAGCAAAGAAAATCGCGTTTTTCACCATTCCAGAAATCAAAATTTTCATAGTCCCCACCAAAAAACAAAATTAAATCTAAGCAGTTTAATAAGTATCCACCAGAATCGATAACTCTTGACGAGATGACTTGAATGATATAACTTGTAAAAGTTTTGTCTCCAACATTTTCAGAGAAATATATAAAATACAAGAAATCTCAGTCAAAAGTTCTTACTCGTCACTGTACTCTTTTCTCGCGGTTGTTCTCTTTTCTGCGTGGTGGCACTATATTTACAAGCTTTTGGTTTTTTTGTGCTTTTCTTTGTTACGAGATGTTTTCTTGGGCATAAAATAAACTTTCAAGTTCAAGTTCAAGAAAGATTTGTTTTTAAACGTGAAATAAGTACCTCAACTCTAACAAATTGAATAGTGCATAAAAAGTTGTATTACTTATTCTTTATATATTCTTTCTAAAAAAACTGTTTGTAGAGACAGTGCTCTACTGGAGAGTTTTTACTTAAAAAAATCTTACCGGACATTTTTATATATGATTCAATTTTCTCAATAACACAACATAATTTATTTTGACCTTTTTATCAGTTGGTTACATCGATCTGATTGAAAAATAATAAAAGTTTCAACTGAAACGGACGCTTTTTCGCCGAGATAGATAAAACTGAAAATTTTACCGAGCACTTTGTATGTACGACCAGAGATGTGCTCTAAAACCTCTGTCGCCGCCAAGGGCGGAGAAAAACTTTTTAAGTTCACGTTGCAGCCGCCAAAATATTTTGAATATAGGTATGACCTTGTTATTCGTTTTTTTTTCTTCAGCGTGATAATCGAGCAGAAAATATTTAATTTCACGTTTACACGTGAAAGTAAGACGTTGTTTGTTTGCAGCACAGAGTGTGCCATTTTCTTTGGTTTTACATAAACCGTATGATGCAGAGTTTTTTTATTCTTTCTGTTTCTTCTATTTTTATCTTAGGGATCTAGCGTGCAGCGCTTTTCTATCTTTTCGCATACGACAACGTACAGACACAGTTGGTCCACGAAGAACGTGCCATAAATGGAAAAGAACTTGTTTTAGTCAAATTTGGTGATTCGCCGCCGATAATCAAGTTTTACGCGCCATCGTCGAAGACCGAGGAAATTTTCAGAGCCTTGCGCCGCCGGTGTTCAAAAATTCACCGAAATGTCTGTGTACAACTATAGAACTCGACAATAAATCTGATTTTCTTCTAGAAGCAAGTACTTCTTCAAATTTTATTTTCTGTAAAACTTCGGCGCACTCAATGCTCCATCGATCTCATTTCTACAGTAAGCGGGACAAGTCGGTCGTCAACTTGAAAATCACGTTAAAAATCTTGTTAGACATTAAATTGCAACACACTGTATGAACACAAAAGCCTATTATTTTCGTTTAAAAGGTCAATGATATTTTAAGTTCAATCCCATAACTTTGCACGGTAAAATGTGGGCTACAAAGTGAACCAAAAATCATCGTTACAGCTAGACATGAATTAATTCTGTTTTGTTTTGAAAATAATTGAACAAAAATCTATCTCTAAAATTACATCATTGTGCAGAATATAGGAAAGAACAGCGAAGTTGATTTTTGCAGTTCGTCTGCAAAGATTAAGTTCGTGGGTCCGATTATAGCTTCGTGCAAGAATTGATTTTGTGTTTTGGTAGTTTAAATTTCAGAATGATATAATGGAAATTTATATTCTCGATTTCGTTCTGGTTCAAGATTAAAGCTTAAACCAAATTACATATTCTAAATGTTTTTTGAATGTGTAGAATCTGTCTAACGGATTTTTCTCAACAGGATTTGTATTATATTCTTATTTGACAAGGGAAAAACAGACCAATTCCAATTTCTATTTAGAAATTAAACTTTAAAATGTAGAATTGGTACATTTCTAGTCACAACATCAGAAGATGAGTTTAAAAAATTCGATTTTTCTGCAACTGGTGATGCTAAAGGCTCAGCCCCCTTTTAACCACAACGGTAATATCTCAAGATGGATTAAAGCTGTAGATTCTGCGACTCAGTTCTGAAACTTCAATAAACAAAACAAAAAATAATCAAAATTTCTTAAGCAAAAAACAAGGTTATGAAATTTTTACATTTCAAAAGCTGATTTTGTAATGATTAGGCCATGCGCTCTGTAAATCTATCTTTTAAAAAACTTTTCTATTAGAAGTTATGCGAAAATACTAAGACAATTCAAATACTTTATTTGGAAAAGACTGATAATTTGATCAAAATTCCGTAACATTACCAGAAAACAGCAAGAACGACTGTCAGAGGTCTTTTGTGAATTGCATGCAGTTTCATGAAAACATGTCTTAGATCACTCAGAGACGTCTCGTTTTCCATAGGAATGTTTGACTCTTCTGCTTGAAAAACTATTTTGAACAAATTCGGAATACTCACTTTTGAATGTTTGTGTTTTTTTGAGAGACAGTGTTCAGCAATTCCGATGGAATATCTATAAACACTCCTCCAGATTATAAACTCTTTTACGTAGTCAAATCATTTTTTGAAATTATTTTGAGCTATTACAATCGAAATCAGAAATAATAATGAACGCTCAATTTTTGCTCTCACAGCGCTGTGCATCAAAAATATAACTTTTTTTATTGTTAGAAGATATAAATGTACATGGGTAAATAGATTTTCTCTCAAATAAAATAAATTAAATGCTGCTCAGTTCAATAATCTCAAAGAATGGACCAAAACTATTTTTGGAAATTAAATTTTTTCAGTATAAGGTATTTATACAGTTAACATCAAGTAAAAGTACAAATGAAAAAGTTGTAAATACACATAAGACGTCTATAAATCCTTGTTGCTACTTTACTCTTTTTATCTATATGAACTGTTTAGGACTATGCAAAATAAACTACATTATTACAACACAGACGACAGGTCAGATTAGCGTATTTATGTATAATACTCATAGCCGTTCTTATTAGTAAATCGTTTTATTTTTATTATTAAATTATCCTAAGGGGAAAAAAAAATTAAATAAAAAAGATACTGTTTAGTATACAACTATCACCAAAAAATGACAAAATATTAGATTTTTAAAAAAACTGAAAATATAATTTTTGAAACTATTTTGTTATGTGAATAACTAAAATATAATATTTTTCGGTTACCTAGCAATTCACTATCACATTTCTTTTAATACTTTTAAAACTTGTTCATGAATTTCTCCATTACTAACAACAACGCCACGATTATCGTTCATTTTTTTATTATCTTTAAAATTTAATTTTTTCCCATTCATATCTGTTACCTTTCCATTCGCTTCTTCAACGATGATTGCGCCTGCAGCATGATCCCAAATATTTTCTCGATAGTCAGGTTTCTGTGGATTCGGAAGACGTAAGTAGAGGGCCGCTCGACCAGATGCTACGAGACCATATTTTGCTTGTGAATCCATACGAATTGGTGCTGTTGTTATTCCAAGTTTTTTTGCCACTGATATTTGCATTTCTTGGTCACAATGACCACTTTCAACACTTTCAGCAAAACGAAAATTACTTGAATCATCACAACGAACCGTTTGTAGACGAGTTGGTTTTGCATTATTCTCAAATGTTTGTGAATAGGCACCTTCATTTCGTACAGCCACAAATAATTGCCCTTGGTGTCCGTTTGTATCTGGTAACGCTGGACATCCCATTATTCCGAGTTTGACATCACCATTTTCAACAAGAGCTAATGCAATGGCATATTGATCTTGTCTCAAAAAACCTTTTGTACCGTCTGAAAAGATATATATATATGATAATAACTGCAACTTCAGAAAAAGAAAAGCTTACCAATGGGATCTAATGTCCAATAACGCTGAGAAACTTCACCACCCCCATAATCAATCCATTTTAAAACATTTTCCTCTGTTACATCATCTGATGTATAGTGTTTTCGAACATAATTCGTTATTATTCTCAATTGTTCTTTCATTTCTGGTTTTTTCAATTCAGAACAATCCTCTTCTCCCACAATTGGATCATTAGGGAAGGCAAGTTTTAATTGGTGACAAATAAGTGCCTGAGATCCATAATCAGCAATGGTGACGGGACTTTTGTCTAGTTTTTCCATTGCTGGCGGTATTGTTTTTCTTACATCTTCACATAATAGAGCTGCTTTCCGAACTGCTTCAATAGCAATCTCTTTTTCTTTAGCATACGAAGACATAATCAAAAATGCGCGTTACGAGAAATATGATCCAATTTTTTATTACGTAATCTTAAAACACAATTAAATTCAAATGTGAAGATCTCTCTTTGGCAAAGTAGATCTTCGAACTATCTCATATATTTTTCTTCTCACGAAAAGTATTTGCATATCTACTGGAAAATATTAAGTACCAAACACTTCAACACATTTATAATTAGTTAGATAATTTGAGAGATTTTATCCGTTTTATCAATCATATCTGTAGCATATTCTTTATTAAATATGGATAATTTTTTTATAAAAACTGTTTAAATTCTGTCAGCGAAGAAAAACTTAGAAAATTCTATCACACACACATACACACACACATCCTCCATTCACATAGCCAAACACATGATAAATATATATGATAAAAATAATAACAAAATAACAAATGGAATTTAAATAACAACAAAATCTTATTAATATGCATAAAAATGGAAACAGGTGGATGACACACAATAACTTTGACAAAGAGAGTTACAAATAAATTTTGAAAAAAGAATTTTTTCAGTCACAATATGTCTGCTTGGCTTACTAGTTCAATCACAACCTGAATCACAACCTGACCTGAAATTTATTACAACTAGCAATCCAAGAAGAACTTTTTTCAAAAAAGAATCGATCCAGTATCTTTTTTCACTATACACGGGATATGACCACAAAAGACAGATGGAAACGAAAGTGCTACTTGTAAAAATCATCTAATTATAAAGTAGCTAATCAAAAATATCTTTATGTGAGAAACTTAATTGCTTTCAAATGCTAAAAACTAAATTAAACGACATCAAAAAGGATCGATAATAGACTAGAGAACCGATACACAAATCTGAATGTATGTCACAGCAACATAAATGTAAGTCACCTATTTACAAATATTGCATAACGTTTTATATGAGAAACCAAAAGATGGGTGAATAAACATGGGTGTAAAACAGAAATGTTTCAGTTATGTAACGTTCTCTTCTCTTTGGTTGATATTCTCCTTTTTGAAAGAAAACAGTCAAAAAGCGGAAATAAACGATGTAAAAAAAGAGAAGGAGAGGAGAAGAGCATACGAAAAAGAAGGAAGCAACATAGTGTACGAACCTTTCTACTTACAAATGTTTGTTCAAAATATATATAAAAAGGTAAGCTAAAAAGTCATTATAGACACAAACTAAAACCATGAACGACAAAAATATGCTCGATGATAAAAAGAAAATGTTCAATGTATTTTTGTTGAATATAAAATATTAAAAGTACGGAATGTGTCTAAAAATAGCAAGCTCAAAATTTATGTATGAAAAATGTAATGTTGTCTTTTTTTCAATCACAACACAAAAATTACAGCACCATATACAAAAAGGAAGAAAAGAGTGAAAGTCAAAAAATAATGCATGGGAGAGAAGAAAATAATAACAACAATAAACTCGTACATTGTTGGTCTTTGTGTATTCGAGATTTTCCTTTTATATTGCACTTAAATGAACTAAAGTTGACTTTAAAAAATTAAACTAATAGAAACAAAAACAATTTTGCAGCATCCACAGCCGAAGAATTACTTTCAGTCAATTAATTGCTGCTGATGTTCGGGAACATTTGTTTGATTTGTTGAAATTATCAAATTATTGCCACCATCGTCTTCAGTTGTATGCTCGTCGAGATCTCCAGTTTTATTTCTTAATAAAAATAAACTATCTGAATGATAAAATGGTTTTTGTATACGTTCATTATATTCATAAATATCATCTTCGCCACCTTTCTTTTCGGAATCGTCCATTTCAGTCGAATGAGTTTCATGTTGATTTGAACTAAAAGAAGGATACTTATGTATACTTAAAAAAAGCCCAAGCTAAACTAACTCCTTACTCGAAATGAATATCGGAGATATCTACTGAAGTGTTATTGCTGTCTTTCTCCTCTCTTATGTTTTCATCAACATCATTATCATAATCGTCAATCGTGAAAGGTGATTTGGCAGTAGATATTGTTGAATTTTCTTCATTTGCTACTGTTGTATCAGTGTTAGTTAAGGATCTCAGTTCACTTGTTGGATTATTAATTTCACTAGTTTCAGACAGAATCATCTGCGTTGAATCGTTATCTGTAGTGGAATGCACAACATCACTTTCGATGGTATCGTTTGTGTTTGTAGATGGAGATGTTTGTTCAACAGATTGATCATGATCTAAGAGTGGTACCACAGACGATGGTTGGTGCTGATTTGTAAATATTTTTTTAACTAAAAAGGGTGATAAATCGTCTACTGGACTCAATAGTGGTGATGGCAGTGGTGAAACGAATTTTTGTGATACTTTTCCGTTAAGTAATTCCGGGTCGACCGTTGACGTAAGGGATGTCATCGCTAAAAATAAACAGACAAATAGAATTATGAATCAGTTGAAACAACATTCGAAGATCAATCACGTAGAAATTTGCTAGTCTTCTAGCTAGAATTCTTTCCACTATAAGTTACAAATATCGTTTCTGTTCTGAAAAATATGGAAACGTTAAAACCAAGAGCTACATTACTAATTTATGTAAGAGTCGGAGATCAAGTATAATAATCAAATTAAAAGATCCCTATATCACGATATCAGTCATTTGTCATAGTAATACTAATAAGACATTTTGCTAACCAGTTTGTTGTTCTTCATCTGTTAATGCTTTTTCGTTCATTGTTTCTTCTTGACCCTCATTGATATACTCTTTTTTCTCGTCTTGTTCTACTCGTGTTTCTTCTTTCTGTCTTTCTTGTTCTTCTAGTTCTCGTTGTTTTTCTTTATTTTTTCGACATATTTCATTAATATCATTGATCCATTTCGATTTTTGTTGAAGAAATTCTTTAACTTTACTATCTTGTAATGGTTCTGAATTCTGATTTAGGCCACCTGTTAATTGTCCAAAACCCAATGTCATCCGCCGAAAACTTGAAAATGATAACAGACCACTTGTAGAACTATCAATATTATTTGTCTGAAATTGATTTGATAAAACACCACCATTTGTTTGTGTAGGTGTTACTGGATCCAATTCAACATTAATCAATGATTTATTGTGTTTCATTCCTAGTGCTAATGCCATAATACCACTAACCTGAATATTATTTCCTCTCAAATCAATATGTCGTATCACGGATGATTCAGCCACATACTCGGCTAATGCGATAGCAGCTTGACATGTTAATTTGCAATTTCCTAATATCAATTCACTAACAGTCCTATTTGTTAAGAGGGAATCTCTCAATATAAATAAACCTTCGTTTGTCAAATTATTATTGCTCAAATTCAATGATTTTATTGTACGATTATGTAATAATGCTTTAGCCAAATATCCGATACCTTGGTGACTAATCTGATTTGATTGTAAATTCAATTTTTGTATTACATTTTGTTGCACATGATATTCGTCGTATTGACTTAACTGTGATGAAATATGTGATAGTCCATTATCTTGTAGAGAATTTGTTTTCAAATCTAATAAATTCAAAAAATGACCACAGGTACGAATTAAATCACATATAATTAAACTATCTTGAACGTGCAAACCTAAAAGAAAGAAAGAATAGGCAAATGATCTCAAATTAATGCTATAGTCACACGAGTCTAATGACTACTTACGATTATCGCCTAGATGCAATTCTCTTAAACAATTGCACGAACGTATATGTATAATCAATTTCTGTAACATTTTTCCATTTAATTGACACGATTCTAAATGTAATTCATATAAATTCGATGAAAAACGTAAACATCGTCCAAATATAAGAATATTATTGTCTTCAAATTTCATATGATTCATATCTAAACGTTGTAAAACATGAGTTTTTCTCATATATCGTCCGAGTGCTTGATAACCTTGTAAACTCATTGAACGATTAGCAGATAAATTTAAATGGATACATGATTCATAGTATTCAATAATATCGAATAGTGACGAGATAAGGCTATCTTCGTATAACGATGATTCAAATTCTAATGTATAAAATTGAACACGAGCCAATATTTCTTCTAATGCATTCAAATGTGCTAAGAAAAACAAAATGTCCAAATTGTTTTATTAAAATGATAAGTTATTTTTTTTATATAACTTACCAGTATTCAATTTTTCATTAATAATCGATAAACGCGCTATTCTATCGTGAAATGTTTGACGTTCATCATTAATAGTTGATAACTGTTCAATGATTGTTTGCAATGGTTTTATTTGTGACTTTGTACAAGTGTCCAAATAAATACGTAAAACGTTTTTTAGTGGTACAAATGGTTGATTTGATAGTGGAATGGGTGCTTCCGAAACTTTTGTTAATTGTGTGTCATCTATTGGAAAATGAACACGTCTTTGTGAATGATTCGATGTGGATGTTGGTACTGTTTGAGTGATATCATTCTGAACTTCTGCTGTTGTGGATTCAGGTAATGATGGAAATGAAGGTGAAGTATTTGTACTATTTAGTGAAAAAGGCAAATCCGTTGGTGCTGTATCAACGGATGAACTACTAATTTCGATTGCTTTATCTTCTTTTGATGTATTCGAAGACTGTTCGTCTTTCGAAATATTATCGGTCACTATTGTCGACATTGAAACCTAGATGATCGTGACTACACTAAATATCCAAACAAAAAGAAAATCAGTCTACTATTACGCTAAATATAAATAGTCATACACATTCTCTCGTGTTCTCATGGTCGATTGTGTGAGACAGATGATAGACAATTACGAAAAATGATGCTCGCAACATACTTACGAGAAAGAAAAAATTAATGTAACCTAATGGATGAAACGTTCTACATTGTGTCGACAATTATGTATACATTTATCTATAATCATAAAAAATGTAAAAATGTACTACTGTTCATTGAATACATACGTTTGAAATGAGAATGTATAGTATTATCTCTCCGAAATAAACAATTAAAATGTTTCCTATTTACGAACTGAAGTGAATGAAAACAGAAACCTCTTGATTGACAAATAAATTAGATTTTCAAACAATTTGTATGTAGTTTCAAATGAGTCAGCGCGATATCTAAGTATTAACGAATAAAACAATTAACATATTATACCGATGGAGCAGCACAAATTGGAAACATTAGATACATTGATAGAGACACCGTTTTATTTCTTTTTTCATTATTTGCCAATAATACTCACTTAGAAAATCTATGTACAGAGGTTTTTTTAATAATGATAAAGTTTACAGCAAAATAGTAAGTACAGCAAAACAAAAAAAAGATAACAACAACAAATTATTCTGACTATTTCTGAAATATATATATATATACTTTCGAATAATTATTCTGTCCATCGATGTAGCTGAAATGAATAGATAACAAACATAGTGTCAAAATTCGTACTATCTTTTAGCTAAAAATCTTCTTTGCATAGACTCTCCTCTCCAAACCGTTGCATACACAAAATAAAAGAGATTTATAATTGCTTGCCTAAAGAAAACCTTTTTTAGCTTACGAGTAACTTTCTATGATTCATAACCTTTTTATTATATTAGAGATCTTTTCTCATGCAAACATGATTAGTTGCATGCCTCTCTGATCACAACTTACACATCGTTGATTTCTGCATACATAATACAACGTCATACGATCCTTAAATAAAAGATTACATTATTGCAGTAATAAATCGACTAGGGCTAAATTAAATTTTCTATTACAAACCTCGCCTCTAGCTGATTGTGCTTGAAAAAATACAGCATCATTCATTTTACATTTTGGACTAAAACGAAAAGAATGAATGAAAGAACAGTCGAAGAAAAAATAATAAATTAGCGAACTCTTACCAAGCATGATTTGTTGTACGTGGTAATGTCGGATCAGAAATAACATCAGTAACAATCTGTGTTAATTCGCTAAAAAATATGAAAACAGTTGAAATACACCTCAATCAAAGACAAAGTACCTATCTGATATTCGTTACTCTTCTTGCGAGAAATTACGGCTTTTACAATATTTTTAAAAAATATGCGCTTATCAAATAAACTACTTACTCTATTTCGTGAGTAATTTTGTTTACATAAATACAAGGATTGTCAGCAGCTTGTTGATGCTATAAAAATAATAATAAATGCAATAAAGTTTAATTATAGATATCGTTGTGCTAACCTGACAACGCCGACATGCGTACAAAAGAATTCGATTTTCTTTATCTTCACGAGGATATAACATATTATTGCTAAAAAGACAAAATAACTTTTTTTAATTTGTAACAAAAAAAAATGTAAAGCATTAAAAAATTGTGTTTCGTACATCCTCTCAATCTTACCATTCTTGACAAAATTTTATTCCAACATAACCAGGACCAGTCGCTTCTCTTGCTATCTCCATATTATCTAAAAAAGTGAGATTACAAATTATAAATTCATTCATAGTCAACGTTTGAAAACAATCTTCGTGTAGATGTTTTCAGTTAAATTTGATAACACGAGCATATAAAATGGTTGCGGCTTTGACACTCAATTGTTTATGATGCTCATAAAAAAAATTCTCGGAATACAATAACTAATGAAAGATGTTAAATTCATTAGTTATTTGAAAGTTTCAGTAATATTCATTAGTTATAGAATAATTATGGTGTACAAGCGTAGTGAATGTTTTTTGAAGACACTAAATTTGAAAACAGCTCTCTTTCAGTAACCCTTGAGAACCAAAACATTAAATTTATGCCATAAATAGAAGAAAGTCGCGGATACACTTTGGTATTACACCAAAGCACTCATTTCTCTTGTATCAGGGCTTATTCGCATTTCATGGAAGAAAAATAAAATACATATATCTCACGACCTATCCAATATTGAGGCTTACACTGTGTGGTGATCGATATATGAATGAGCGTTCTGACGTGCTCATGATGTTCTGAAGTGTGATAAGAACTTGAAGAACAAAAAAAAGCGATTCAAAACTGCTACTTTATTTCATTTCTTAGTTACTCGGTTTTGTAGGGTATAGCAGAGATTCACACGAACCGGAAATTTTTGCCCAATTCGACGAAAGAAAAGTTGTGGCCCGACTTCCATCCTTTTCGATTGTTCACAAAATCTTGCACCTTTAACGCTCATTGCAATCGCACACACATTTCTCAGAAAAGGTAAGTGTGTGCTGCACATAGGATGGTATATAAAGCGTTACCGAATGGCTGAAAAAGGTGGTATTACAAAAAACATTCTTTGTGAAATTTCTACAGGGACTTTACTGGACTTTTTTGATGGTGCAGTCAAACAAAATAGGTGTACATTGACAGCTAGTCAGAAATTTCAAAACGGCGTACAAAATGGCACAATGAAAAGGCGAATATTATCTCAATTTTGATCGTTTTTATGAAGACGAGATATTCTTCTGGTGCAATTCAGTGAACTGTATCATTAACAATAAATTTTCAGCATAAATTCGACAGAAAAAAAGCTTTTAAAGAGTGACATCTAATTTGTCTCGAAATTCATGAGAATCGGTAATTGCATACTTGACATTTAAGAATTATATTCGGTTTTTTATCTATTTGGCGTTGTCCGTCATCGTTCACAGGAAAACCGTACGGCTGATAGGGGGGACCAAGCTATAAAGCGAGAGAGATGATGAATCAGTCGGAAGGACATTATTGGTGGAAAAATTTATCATACTATTGAAGTGAAGAAAGATGATTATCCATCAAATTATGCGAATATAATGTTTTTGAAATCAGTTGGATCCGCTCTTTGAAATACAATAAAATTGGATGAAGAATTCGATCCAGTATTTTAAACGGTAGAAAACAAGCCAATCAATGATATGTCGAAAAAAAATTAGCGTTTGGCATCGCAACTAGGTGATTTATGGCAAAAACATATAATTTTTTTAATTTAATCCACATGTGTTCCGTTGTGTTCTTCATCTGGCTTTGGAAAGCAAACGATAGAAAGACGCTTCAGAGGCAATTCTTTATGTTCATCGCCCTCTTTCAAGAAGACCAACAGGATAAGAGCCATTTTTTCTCACCAGGAGTTTTCTCGCAGTTTTTAAAACTAAACTATCTTTGCACAATTGCAATGTGCCAAGAAAACATACTATGAAGTTTGCCCAGGTGAATCTACTAGAGATTGAGTATTTGGATACTTAACAATTTCGGATAGTACTCAGCGAGGTACTTGGAAAGTATCTTTATAAACCAGTAATTGCCTGAACACTTTAAAGTTCGATACGTATCTGTAACACTTGTGCTAGTATTTCATTAAGTATTTTATATTCTTAAAATTCATTCAGTTTATTGATAGATACTTTTTTTATTTGCAAAAATGATTAAGTACTCTTGACATCAATAATCCAGGCACTCGCCTAAGCACTAGTACACAGGCACATTCACTAGTGTGAAGTATTCATTTATTATTTGTAGATCAAATACAAAAATTTGATTTATTATGACGGTTGATACAGCCGTACCAGACAGTAAAAAGAGCTTATCCATTGTTGTAAGCAACTTCTCATTCGTAACTTATATATCGTTCTCTAAATCAACTTTTTATTTAATTTTTCAAAGACCAAACGAGATCGTCGTGATGTAATTCGACAAGTTCGAGAAATTACCGGACATGATGATAATTATATTAATCAAACAATAGAAGCATGTAAAGATCCCGGTATGAACAACGCATTTTTTCTCCAGTTTGCAATTCATCTCATTAAATTTTCTTTTTTAGATACAGGAAGATATTCACTTGAACAGGTTATTAATTTACTTTTCGATGACAATAGTGTAAGTTTACGAGCAATGGCATCTTAGATTACTAACTTATGTTACTTCTTTATAGTTACGGAACAATCTGCAACGGTCACAGAATAATAATGTGCCAGTATTAGCACTGCAAAATAATACTGGAAGCGGTGCAGCTGTTTCACCAAACGATAGAAGTATGTTTTTAGATATTTGATCAAATATTTTCCTCCCATTCATCATATTGTTATGTTTCTAGGTTTATCACCCAGCCTCAAAGAGCGTTTGTCTGATCCTATTACTGATGATGTTATTGAGTTGTCGCCTGCTGATGGCACACAGCAAGACGATGAACTTGAACGGTAAATACGTCGAAATAACATGAAGTTATTGATAATATATGATTATTTGACTGCTTACAGAGCATTACAACTATCACGTGATGCAATGGAGCAAATTATTGATGAATCGGATGTCACAGAAAGAACAAAAGGTGAACCAGCTGGTTTAAAAAATGTTGGCAATACATGCTGGTTTAACTCAGTTGTACAGGTAACAATAGAACATATCAATTACATTTTTCTCTAAACTAAACCATTGATTCTGTTTTCCTTCTAGACATTATACACTTTACCATATTTTCGACGATTAATACTCAGCTTTCAGTGGCAAAATCAATTTTCTAATGATGATGTATGTGTTTATTCGAATGAGGATAAAGCTTTTTGCATATGCATTCGCTGAACTTTATCACATTATACAATCTTTTTACCTTTGAACTTTGGCAATGTTCTATTACCGTACATAACATTCGATATTTTACCATTTAGGAATTACAAGCAATTGGATTTACAGAAGAATTACGAAATTTATTCACATTAATGCTTAAGTCTCCAAGACGTTCAATAAATCCTGATCGTGCAATAAAAAAATTTAAAGGAACAAGAAAATTATGTCGTGTAGATTTTTCTCATGAGGTAAGAAGGAATAATGATTTTATTCAATATCACTTAATACACAGATCTGTAGTAGTACACAAAGATCTGTTTGCCGATGTTGTTGCTGTTTGTTTATTAGAATATTTTTCTCAATATCTGTTAATATTCTTGAACGTATTGATGTACGTTACTGATGGTGTTTGTCGCGTATTCTGAGATATACATGGGTTTAAAATTAAATAAAATCATTTATATATTGTAGTTAGGATTGTTGCTTACGCAGTTTCTGATGTTTTTTATCTCAATTCTCCTAATTTTTGAATCGTTCACAGATATTTTTTCACCATCGTTTATCTGTGAATAATAAAATTTTTGATACATGGTTCAGGAGTCTTATTGGAAAAATATAACCAGCAGCCATAATAATACCGGTTCACAGATTCAATAGTGGTAGTAGACCATATTTACAACGATGCTGTTCATGATCAAATGATTAGACATTTTGGTTTTACGTGTAGCGTTCTTTAGTGGTTAAATGTATTAAAATAACTACATTAAAGTATAAAACAGAACAAATAAACACACTTTTGAATAAAAGAAGTGGTAAAGTATTGTATAAACTATAAATAATAAAATTTCATTATGACTCTGATTGTTTTGTTTTGAATTCTTTTAACGTTTGTCTTTCTTAAACATCCTTTTTAATTTATCTTTTCTTCTATTATATGATTGAGCGTGAAGAAATATGGAAAGAAACTTGTTTTTAGAAATAAATAGAGTGATGAATACAGATTTAACAACAGGTGAATGAAAATGGCATTATTTAGAACGTTTTATGTTAAAACATTTGCACTGACTTTTTTCTGATTAGAATTCCCCATGTTATTTTGTGCTCCGTACGCAGTGTAGAGAATTAAGTCACAATTTTTAACCGTAAATCATGTTGTGTATTTTGATTTCTCTATGTTAGCGTGGCATTGTTTGACTCTCAACTGTATGATAGTTTTTCTCACTCATCGATCCCATTCACTTTTTAACCATGAATTCTCATTTAGGATTCGTTGTTTTATAACTTCTATATCTATTATTCGTAATTGTGTACACCGTTTCTAACCATTTACTTCTATCGTTTCGTTGTTGAAATAATACTACTGTCGAAACTGATGTATTATCACGGGTGCCGCCTTTTGAATGTTACATCAACGCTGAGCCTTGCACACCTTGTCTTTTTACCGGACCAATATGTTTTCCTGCTCTCCACTTAAATCGAATAGTTTCTCTAAACTACTTTTCACCATACTCATAAGGGATACCGTAAACTACCAACTCGTCTAATTCGTTTTTTGAGTTGCAACTTCCTTCACTCGCATCATTTTGTCCTATTTTTCTCATTTTTTTTAAAGATTGAACGTACTGCAATGGAGCGGGATATATCAATATTAAAGTTAGCCAAATTTCTTAATTTTTCTGTGACTAATTAACGAGATGGGATTATTATTACATTTTGCTGACGAGAAACACTATTCTACTGTAACACACATTTTTCAATCGGTCATACGTCGATCGATAGAGGGTATCGGGATAGTAAAAAGTCTAAAAGGGTTCGTGCCAATGACTCTTGAAGACTCATTTTTCTGGAAAACCGATTTTTCAGAAACTCTGAAAAATAATCAAAACCTTTTGTTAGTGAGGCATGATTGTAGCCCGCAAATTTTTGATTAAAATGAGACATCTTCCAGCTCTACACGACCTTTCTTTGCAAAGTTATAGAATTTACAACAAAAGCCCTGAATTAATTTCTTTTGATTTCTGTAGCTTTGAGCTGAGAATGAAGATTTAGGGCTTTTGTTGTAAATTCTATAACTTTGCAAAGAACAAAGGTCCTGTAGAGCTGGAAGATGTCTCATTTTAATCAGAAATTTGCGCGCTACAATCATGTCTCACTAACAAATGGTTTTGATTATTTTTCAGAGTTTCTGAAAAACTTCAAGAGTCATTAGCATGAACCCTTTTAGCCTTTTTACTATCCCAATACCCTTTGCCGATCGATGTATGAACGATTGAAAAAAGAGTGTTACAGTAGAAGTGTTCCTCGTGAGTTTTGAATGTCTTCTCCTCCTCTTGCTTTTTTGCTCCTTGTTTATCAAATTTATGAAATAGTTTATTGAAATTGTATTTTGGTTAACTGCTATTGCTTAACATGTCTTCAAGAATTGGTTTAACTTTTTTACCCTCTTATTTTTTTTATAATCTATCACATTTATAACTACAACTTTACTTTCTTTAGCTGCTCGAATCTGTTTTATCGTCTTTCTTGAATGCTTCGACATTGTCTCAAATCTCTTCTTTTTATCAGATCGAACTAAAACTCGCTTCGCCTCGCTAACTATATCTTCTTTTTCAATTGCACTTTTCTGAAGATATCTGACCCAACTCCCGCTATAACAATAAATTTCGTTTTAACTAATAATTGAGTTGGATTAAAATTCAATATTTTTAATGTCTGACGGTGGAATTCTTGTTCAGCTGAACGTTTCAGTTTTATTATTGAAATTTCACTTTAACGTTACTGATGGATGTTTTGAAAGAATCGGTAGAATTTATCATCAAACTACATTTTTATGATTCTAAGTACAAAAAGTCTTTATGATCAATTTTGAATGAGATGAGGGAAAGTTAAGACCCTGTTTGACATTAATGACAACCAAAACATTTACCACTGATATCATCGTTAGTCACATCCGATATTCTCTCGAAATATTCATAATTTTCTTAAAATACATATCATAATATCAAATATATATTCAGAAAATATCAAATGATATCCGTAAATTCATCAAAAAATAGATAGTGTAACGTAAGTAAATTAATAGTATACGTCAAAAAATGTATATGTTTAATGAAAACATAATTGATAACGAGAAAATAAAGCATATTGATGATTACGCCTTTAATTAGTACGGTCTGTTTATAAGTCTTGAACAGTGTGGCATGGAATGACCATCTTACATTGTAACTAAACTTTTTTATGTACAATACTGACCAGGAGTAGAGACCTCCTTGTATGTCGATATTCACAAGTGTTTATAATATGATAAAAAAAAGGTTACCCTTAGTTTCTCAAACTCGCCTCGCTAGCTATATTTCATTAGCGTTTACTCATCTTGAATGAATTTCCGAAACCATGCAATAATTAATCGTCAAAATCTGCATGAACAGAGCATGTGATGTAATCTTTAAATCAAAATAATACTTCTCGAATGAGGTATGAACTTTTTTTAAAGAGAATCTCGAATTTGAATAATTGCTTTCGATCGTAAAATAGCTGTCTTTCATTAATCCTTCAAATTTAAGAGATGGCCAGATATTGAGGAAAATCCGTTGAATCGGAAATTATTAAAATTCCAATTCGAGTTACGGAAATTTTTTTCAATTTTGGCCAGTACTGTATACTGTAAGAAAATTCAATATAATCGATGAATAGATTCTTGTGAAAACGCTGTTATGTGAATATAAAAAAGCAAGAGAACAGGAGGAAGTACACTTCTACTGAACACTTTCCTTTATCTTTTTTGATTCGCATTTAAGTATCCTCTTGACTTTACCGATCGAAATACCGACATAGAATCTTTATAATCCTGATTTGTTGTTATTTTTTTTAGGATTGTTCTGAGTTCGCAACATTATTGATTGACCTCATTGAATTAGCATTTGAAGCAACTAGTAAAAGGTTAGTCAATGTGTGTTAACTATTTAATTTTGAATTAATGATTTGATCTTTAGTAATAGTCAGTTGATAACCGATAATAGTAATCAAGAATATGTCAATCCAATTAATGCACTTGTTACTGGTGAAGTTATTGTTGAGCGTACGGAACCGAAAAACGATGGTAAATATGAAAAAATACAAGATGTATCCTTTCACATACAAATAATAAGTAAATTATTTTATATAGTTAAACAACGAACAGAAGCACTTCGTCAAATTAACATTCAGATGACTGATTCAGTAAACTTATATGACGGTCTGGAAGTTTTATGGCTCGGTTCAGCGGATGAAACATTAATTCGTTCTACCCAAGATACACAAGTATGCTTTTTATTATAGAAAAACGACCTTTTATCTATTATTGTTTTCACTTTTCATAGGCAATCAACGAACAACGTTGGTTAACATGTGTACCGCCAATCTTATTCATATGCTTGAATCGTTATCGTTTTTCTCAAACAACAAAACAAGCATCAAAAATTATAGCCCCATTTGAATTTTATCCAGAATTATATATTGATAGGTAAATATTCTGATCTGCTAATCGAATTGTTTAATTAAATGAACATTATATTGAATAGATATTTGCATAGTAATAAAGATTTAGTATTAGCCAAACGAGATGCAGCGAAAGCGCTCTATGCACAATTAAGAGAATATGAAAATACTTTAAATAAGTAAGTTTAGTTCTTCGTTTTATCTCGTTGATGTGTTTAATCTAGCGTTATTTATTTCTAAAGTTATATGAAATATCCGTGTAATGATGAAGCATTTTCGTTAGCGAATGCAATACGGGTGGTTTATGAATTTGCAACTGGATGCCGGTTGAATCCTTTACCACCAAAAAGGTATTAAAGAAAAAATAATCGTTGTTTTTTTTACTGGTTATAACTACTTTTAGAGCTGATTCATTATCATTGGACTCTACTTCACACTCATGTTCGCCAACAGCAGCATCATTATCATCATCTTCACTTCCTACTCGATCAAGACAAATAAATACAATTCGTCCATCTCAAATTTCAGACGATGAATTGTTGTCTATACAGGTACTAATCCTTTTGTGTTTCTTATTTGAATTCATTTACCTCTGTTTTAGAATACATTACCAGCGTGGCTGACAGAAATCGAGGGAAAGTGTGCACGTAAGTGTTGATAAATTGCTGACGAGGAAACCTTCTCACATTCACACCTCCATTTTCAGTGATATTCTATCTAGCGGTAGAGGATAGGATGCTAGTAAATAGCTTAAAAGGATTCCTGCTCTTGATGCTTTTTTCTAAAATTATAAATCTTTTTATTCGCTTGTGGAACAGCTACACAACTACACTAGGATTTTGGTATGCTGATCAAAACAAAGAATTAAGGGATGAAATTTTCCGTTATTGTGCTGGTGATCTGCTAATAGTACAAAAATATAGAAGTCTTCAACTCATATATATATATATTGATTAAACGAATTTTTACACTGACAAGGAAAACCCAGTTTTTCGAAGATGTTTTTATTTGTTCTGGATTTACATTTTTTGACTAAGGTGATACGGATGTTAATTAGTAGATGAATGAGAAGAAGCAGAATTTGCCATGGCGATCAGTCAAGTGAAAAACAATCGTATCATCTATAGTTTTGTTTTCTTTTTTCCCAAATATGGGAAAACGTGTACATGAGACAGGCTAATTAGATAACTATTTTTTCCATATTTCACAATGTTCATGGTAGAAGAAACTAATACAGAAACATATGTGATCTATTGGGCACAAACGAAATGTAAAACCAGAACAAAGAAATCCTTTTAGGCTATTTACTAGCACATTATCCTCTATCAATAGACACAATATCACTGGAAACGGAGATGGGCATATGAGACGGTTTCCTCTTGAGAATAAATAGACATTTTTTATTTGGTTTTAGATATTCGTGAAGATATTAGTCGTGTTCAAGCCGAACTAAAACAATTATACAATGATCCTCAGTTAAAAAAGGTACGTACATGCCATCCGAATAAAACGGTAAATAGTACATAATGTTATTGTTCTACCTTAGAAATGTTACAAATTACATGCTGTGTGTGTTCACGAGGGAAGTGCGACACTCGGACATTTTTGGACATACGTTTATCATCCCGATCGTGAAAAATGGTTTCGTTACAATGATAATGAAGGTAATTTTATACGCTCTGATAAAAGGTAATATAAAATTACAGTATTCCATTATCTGGATCTGTAGTAACGGAGACAACATGGAATGAAGTGTATGAAGCTGGTTTTGGTGCAAAAGCAAACAGTGATAAAGAAGAGCGTATTCCAAGCGCATATTTACTTGTTTACATAGACGCTAATCAGAAAAAATTGCATGAAGGTAAGATAATTATTAGTTTGTCTATATAGAAATTGTTCTGACGTAAGAATATTTAATTTAGATCACTCAGTCGAATTGAATCATGAACTTCAACGTGTACTCGAAGATGATATGCAATTACTACAACAACAATTGGAAACAATCAAATTAGAACGTTTACATTCGGATTTAAAATTTGCTTGTGAGAAAACAGATAAACAACGTACACAAATACCGTTCTTTTCAAGCCCAAATTCTCCCAACGGTGAGATTATTTCCTCATTAGAAAACTAAAGACAATTTTGTTATCATTTTTATGTTATTTTAGAGAAAAATGAAATGGCATTTGAACCAGAAATTGTTAAACCGGTGACAGACGTAACGCTTAATGTATTGAAAGTTCATTGTGAAAAAATATTATCGTGTGATACTCAGATACTATTAAATGAGGTATGTGGAAAAGTAACGCTTATATCTCTATTTATTGGACAAATGAATATTTTCTTTATTGAATTACTATTTAGGCTGTAGATAAAGAAATAAAACGTAATACGTACACATCAAATCAAATAACATCAGAGTTACCACAGGTCGATCGTCGTTTATCACATTTTATCACATATCTAACAGCAAATCGTATTGATAATATTTATAAGCAACGTGCAATGTATGATATTATTCGTCTGATACCACATTCAAACGACGATATAAGGTATATATATATGTGTTTAAAACCATTAGCTTATTCCTTTTTGCTAAAAGTTACAAGATTTTGTTATACTTTGAACTTATTATATATTTAGACTGAAAATATTAAAAATGCAAGCACAAGTTACTGCTAATGAAATGCAAATTACGAATGAAGATTTTCAAGAATATCAGGTATAATATACTAATTAACATGTCTCTCTCGTTTTTAATTTCTCTTGTTTGTTTATTTTGAAGAAATTATTAACAGATTACAAAGATTATCGATCAGTTATTGCCGCTTTTCTTGCCGGTTGTCAGTTGATGAACGAAGACAAGTATGTACACGTATATTTCTGTACAAGTTATCAATTGATCTCATGTACTATTGTAGATTTGACGAGGCGATCACCTATTTTTGTGTTGCTTGTGAATATAATCTTCGTCTATCAAAAAATTGTTCGTTACTTATGAGAGCGATGGATAGTTGTCTTCTATTTAAAGTTCGACGATTATGTTTTGAAGTAAGAGATGTTTGAATCAAAAAATAAACGATATGTATATTTTATTGTTTTGGTTATTTTTTGTATATTTTCAGCGATGGAATGCCGTAGTTATTGAACGTTTTAAAAATGATGTAAGTTATAGACTTGACGCAATGACACATCAATTTTTACCATGTCTAATGCAACTGAAACTGAGTTCGGATGATGATCAAGCTTACATATCAGAAATTCAACGACTATGGTGTCTTTTACTCGATAAAATCGAACGTAAGTTTCAAAGCGAGTTAGACTAGTCTTGAGAAGGAACATTATTTACTTTTGCGAACTATTATTTTTCTTTTCTCTTTTCAAGCACAACGTTTAACGTTATTAGAAGAATTTCTCCAACGTCTTCTTGAGCAACCAATTGGACAACATTATCATTCTGTATCGATTAACAAAAACAACTTATTCAGTCGTTATGGAGAAGCTGTTCAATATTTGTATAATAAATATCCAACACATTTTGCAAAAGAGCCAACAGTGGTAGCTGCTTCTTCTATTTCTCCTGTTGCTACGCCGATGATTTCAGAATCGGTACAACAACAGACAAATGATTATCAACATCATTACCAAGTACAGCAACAATCATCGCACTCTGATAGTTTCCCGCAATCTTTACCATTTACAAATACAGAACCATCTCTTCCATCACCATTAAATGATTCACGTTCATCATCGTCTCGTCCTAATTCATCACATCCTATTAGCATAGTTCCAACTTCTCATCAAACTAGTTCAATACCAATTCCCGTTCAAATTCAACAACCAGTAAATAATTCAACACAATCATCGGTGGCTCAGTTACACTTTGCTAATCGACTTCATCATCACCAAGAGCAACCATCATATGATTCAAGGAATGCACCAGTATCATCATATCCTCAAAGACCATTGTCTTCGACAAAACCAGTAACTAATACTGTAGCGGCATTAGCCGAATTTGATCGTTCATCGAGTCATAACTCAAGAAATGACGGCAGCGTACTAGCAAAAAGTGGCTCTATTTCGCCAATGCAGCAAGACGACATGAATGATGAAGAAGAACAGCAACAATCAGCTGAAGCTGTAGATATCTTAGACAGACGACAACGACAAAATATGAACCCTTCTCATCGCACACGTACAGCTCCTTCTCCGTCATCTTCACCGCCGCAATCTTAATTTTATTTATTTCTCCCAGATGGATAAGTAACTCTTGTTCTCTCGTTAGTCAGAGTTTCGGTATTTTGTACCAGTAAGCGATATGCCATTAAAATAAAATTGGTGCTAGACTTCGTTATTTATTTTATTCTTAGTCGAAGCGAATCGCATTTCCTTTACATATACTTTTATCTCTCTAAAATAAGTATATGTATTTCGATTTTTGCATATTTTCAGCACTTTTTTGAACAATGCGTGTGTATTCTCACAACGAATTGTATTTTACATCAGCAAAACAAACCTGATCGAGATCTTCCTTCTATACTACTAGTTTATGTGAGTGTTTTTCGATTATTTTTGTTGTAGTTGTTGGTTTCTTTTTCATATTGCTATTCTTTTACCTTTGTTTTGCTTGTTTTTTTTAGCTGCTTGGAATTTGTCCCGGTTTTTTTTCTTAATGCATTACGCTTTTTTCTATATGAGAGAGAAAGAGGGAACGACGAAAGTAATGAATTGAAATGATAAATAGAGGTGTTTTTATTTTACATAAATATTGCTCTTACTGGTTGTTTTTCTATATTCGCACATACTTTTTCTGTACAAATTTAAAAAATGTGTATTGAGATCTTGTAATTTGTCCGTCATTGTGTGTGTGTGTGAGTGTGTGTGTGTGTGAGAGAGAGAGTGTGTGTGTGAGTATGTTTTGCATTTTGTTTTTTTTTCCTGCGCAGTTATATATAATAATTTTTATAAAATACATTTTTCTTTGTTTATCTGTTCCTATCATCAGTGCTGTGGTGATATTCATAGATGATAACTTTTTTTTTCTCATCAGCACAATCTTTGAGCTTTTTACTGTATAAGCGGCTATAAAAAATGATACAGAATAAATAATAAGGTACCATTCTCATTTGTTAATGTTTCATCTACACTAACAGATTTCTCACAAGATATTACATGATAGCTCTTTATCTGGATATACTTGTAGTTTGCTTATGAATCACTGAGCTTATTTTCCATACTCGAACTGAAACTGGTTGTTGTTATTTTTCAAATTGTTTTTCTTTACATTTGAAAGAACTGTTTATATCTACAACTAGACGTACAAAATTCACCTCAAACAGCTAGAAAAAAAATCTTTTTGAGAAACATTATTGTGCCATTGTTGTGAATGGCGGTGCTTGATAACTTTCATAGGCAAAATCATCATACGCATATTTTTCATCTCTTAATAAACTAATATGTGATATTTCTAACTCGAATGGTCCATCAACGTAGTCTGCTACAGCAATACTCAATTGTGTACAAAGATACGGATTAAATTTTGTCTGTACATCTACTACACGTCCCATGTTGTTACGAAATAATTTTGAAAATGGTATTTCTAAACAACAACAACAGACCAGTCACTCTTACACCATTACTTTTCGAATATAATACACTTACTCGCTGTTTGCCAATAGGGTCCACCACGCGTATATAAGATCATTGAATGCATATAAGACCATTTTGTATTATCTAAGCCGGGTGTATGTGCGCGTAATTCATACGTTCGTCCATCACCACGTAAACGTATTAAAAAGTGACTAAAATTTTTCCATTGTTGACGCAATTTTGGCATAAATAAATATCCTTGTAGACGTTCACTAGCCATAATGGCAAATCCACTTTTATTATATAATGTTTCATGATTAATTATCTCGGTACTAATATTACCACGAAACAGTAGTGAACCATGACCACTCGGCAGTATTTCAGCTGTCGATTTTCCAACTTTTTCATCAAGATCTGTCCGAACTGTCCACTTCTTAATTTCTTCATTATCAGCAAAATTATGAATATATACATAATCATTATGATTAAAGGCTGGTCTAAATAAAAACAAATTTTTTGAAAAAATGACATTGTTTACATCAGGGGAAACAACTTTCATTTAAAGTGCGTGCAAAGAAATGCGAACGGTCTACCAGTCACTCAAGTGATTGTAAAAAATACTTTTAAAATGTGCGTAGCAAAAGCATATGCTTTTCTCATCGGTTGATGTTGAGATCACACTTACCTGAAACTCAATGGACGAATTTGTTTTAACTGTGTCTTTAGTTCCGGCCATATAATTTGTTTTATCATAGGCCCAAGCAAACCTTCTCGGATTATAGCTGAAAATGATTTTCGTTTTTTCCTCAATTCATCAGTACGGAGAGCGTCTTCCGGTGCTAAAGAAAGAGCAAAGAAAACATGTGAACTAAACTTTTACCAGTTGCAATGGAAAGATTCTACATACTTCGGTACAATTCACGTTTCCAATTGCCGTACCAAAATAGTATACATCGTATAGATGTATAATTGTATGTTGTTGATTTCAACAAACATCGAGAGGAAATAAACACTTGTCGTGCACTGTTCGACATTTACATCTAGAATTTTTGAAATCAAGAAACATTGAAACTTAAACCTAACAACTTACTTTGTCACGGGCTTAGATAAGTTTAAACTTTTTGATCATAGGTATTAGTCGACTAGCACTACGAAAGCCTCTAGAATTTGACATTTCCGGATAATTTTTGGAAAAATTTTCTAGAAATCCCAGGAAAATTCTAAATTCCAGTCACAAATAGAAATAAAGAAAAACACTTAATTAGGGCAAATGTTTATGCTGAACACGAATTCAAAGTTAGTTTACGTATAATATTCAATGGAAAGGAGTCCAGAATTTTCCTAGGATTTTTAGAAAATGTTCACTAAGTTATTTGGAAAAGTCAAATTCTAACGGCTTTTGTCGTGTTAATCAAGTAGTATCTAAGATAAAAGTATCTCATAGAGATAACGTGCAGTTTTCGAAAAAACTTAAGGTTCACAGTTTCTGAGGAGTATGACACGTTTAAGCCAGTGACAAAGTAAGTTGTAAGGCTCGTTCTTGCGAAATTTAAACAAGTAGATTACAATCTTAAATTTGGTCATAAAAAAGTGCGTACTTGCTTGACTTTCAGCAAGCTATTGTTATCACAAACGTGCCTTGTTTAGCTTTTTCCCCCGCAGCTCTGTTGAGTTGCAATCTGAAAAATTACAACATAATTGCAACTTTTGGTGCTCTGTCGAAAAACCCAAAACATTCGTTAACACAATTTGTTTAAAAATATTCGTGTTGAACACAAAAAGTCATCTCATAAGCGAGATTCTTTTGCGAATAGTACATCACTTTTTTGGTTATATAGATCTGGCAGCATCTATACAGATACACCCTAGAACATTTTTGCCAATCAAACTAATAAATTAGATGTTGATTAAATACGATACACTAAAAACGAGAATCTAATATCAAGACAGACCAGAAAAAAAAGAGGTTGTTAAACGAACAAAATTCTGTTTAGAAAGGTTATTGGATAACTATAAAAAAAGTGATATAGTTTACAGTAGACAGAAAAACGTCTAAGATCTACCAGTCACCGGAAAAAAAACCCAGAAACCGAACGAAAAAGTGTTGTTTACTCATAATATGTACTTCTAATGTTGTTTATTAATTTGAATCACCATCAACTTCCTATTTTATCTATAGTTATGTGTTTAAACCTTCAATTTGTCAATTATTTTCATCGATATCTACGTGAAATAAGACGGGCATATACATTCTTTGATGAACAATTACTTTTGTGTCTGGCATCGATGTGTCTAATTCAATAGTAACAGTATGATTTTCATCATCACTTAACAATTTTACATTGGTCCATTGTCCACGTAAAATAAATTCAAGTGGTTCTTTACGGTTAAAATCTGTTGTTGCTATGCTACATGATAATGTTGGTATCCGACCACGTATTATTACTGTACAAGGTTGACTAATCGATAGAATAAAACCTTTATCAAGTATAGCAGATGAATTTGCTTTATCGACATTGAATAATGTATAACATGTTGTATCTGTATCACGATCATAGAATATATGAGTATTTATATCTTGTTTGAGTACAATTAACGGTGGTAAAATTTGTTCATCATTTGCCCATGGATTATCATTTGTCGTTGTAGTTTCAAATTGTTCTGTCCATTGTTTGACTTGTTCATTAGTTGAATTCAATAAAATTGTATAGATAAACATTTCATTTCGTTCCATGTGTTCAACGTAGCCGAGTGCATAATTTTCTTTTGTTAATTTAAAATATTTTTCATTATCTACTAATTTTGGTTCTTTAAACTTCTTTTGTTTCATATCAAGAATGGGATTTTGTTTTGGATCAATTAAATAAAATTGATTTATATAGATCATTTCTTGTTCAGAACATTTTAACTTTAGTTTCATCGGTTGTTGATTTAAATTTGGATGTAAATAATATGATATTTGGCAATTATCGGTAATGGTATGGACTTTATTTTCATTTAACTCATAGGTTTCTTCAAACGGAAATGTTTGTATCACGTCTGAACTATTTAAATATAATGGTGTGTTAATATTTGAATAACTTGACTGAAACAATGTAGTTATCCTGGGATAAGCACTACTACTATTACTCACAAAATCAATATCACTGGTTAAAACAGTTATACGATTATCAAAGCAATAAACAGAACGTTTAAATTTTATATCCCATACATTAAAATCACATGACCACATACCATCGCGACCATCAATCGATGTTCCACCAGCAAACCAATTTTTTGCTGTGAGATTACAGTAACTTTCAAATAATTCGATTCGTGGACGCAATAAACTAGTTGTGCCTGGCCTACAACATACTGATAAAGTGTTATTTCTTTGTTTTGCATAGTATCTACATATCAGAGTTCTGTATGAACCTATGTGGACTCTATGAAGATAGCACCTCTATCTGTAGAGTCCACATAAGTCCATATGGAGCTCTGCTACATACCAATGACTGGGATTCCAACCGGCGACATCGCATCTAGCATTTTCATATTTAATTTTTCCTTCATTATCAGCTGGTACTATGAATATTGAACAATTTCTTGCATAAATACCATAATTATTTGTATCGGATAACCATCCATAAATTTCTAATCCACGACGGTTTTTACCCATTCCGACAATTGATACATAAAATTGTTTTGCACGACGATGAATAGCACCCGCTGTACTATTCAATGTTAGATGACCATCAAGTTCGATAACATCAATACCATCTCGAATATAAGGTGCAATTGTTTTGTCTGTTTTACTGCATAGACCAATGAGAACACCAGCTAAGAACGGATCATATGTATGATTATCATCACATACACTTACACAAGTTTTAATCATATTAAGACCATTACATACCGTTGGTTTACCTACATGAATGTCCCTTGTAATTACAGAAGTGAACATCTCTTTGAGTATATGTACCTGCTCTTGCGGCTACATTAGGCGGAATTTTCTCTGCATCTACAAGACAAAAATTAACTGCGTACGCACTACGTCTTATAATACGTCGAACATTATCAGAAAAATGAAATTCAGTATCATTGAAGACTGAGCCAATTTTGATAATATCCGGTAAACTATAACTTGCATAATCAAAATGAGACATCCAGTGGTGATGAACTAAGCCGTCTAAACATTAAAAACAGATCGTAGAATAATGATGATAACTAGAATTGATTGTCGACTCACCAAGTGCTACAGGATCATGAATCAGTTTTTCAAGTACATATTCGATTAGATATGTGAATGAATGTAAACGTTGATGTATTTCGTGTGTATCCGGTATACATAATATGAGTGTAAGACAATTTAATAGATAATTCTTCAAAATAAATCAAAACTAAGTGATATGAATAACAGCCAGACATCAAGGAAGAAAGATAGTACTTACATGAATGATATCAGTATCCATAACAGATGGCTTTTCCTCCAGTAATAGATGACCATACCTGTAGCATAAAACGAAAAGATAAGAGTAATATTTTCATTCATTTCCACTTACATAATCCATAGTGCAGCGCATATAACAGAATGAAGACGGCCAGCTTCTTGTAATGAATCACGAACATAAAAGAGACAACTCGGAAAATTTCTAATTTCATAACCTGAAAACACAAAAAACATCAGTATTTAATTGGATTTTAATAAACTAAATATGATTTACCTATATCAAGATTTCCTTCCATATTTCCATTTCCTTCACTCCAACCTTGTTCAAGTAAATAATCACTTAAATCTATAAATAAATTCCATGTTGCTTGTGCTTCCGCACTACTCTTATCTTTATATGAACAAAATGAGATTGCAGCCTTTTTAAATGGTCCAACTAAAAATGGTTGAAGATCTAGAGCATTTGTAGGCGAATAAAAACCTCCTTTTCCAAGTGGTATGCCAGTAATAAAATTTTCCTCATTGCGTCTAATATTGTATTTTGCACATAATCCTTGTAGTTTTTCTAATGGTTCAGGTTTTGTTCCAGCTGACCATGAATTATAAGGAGGTGGTTTTAACCAACGATCTTTTAGCTTTTTTATACTGGCAATGTCATCCTCTGTCACTTCATCAGGATATTTTGTGTTTGTTAACCATGGACGATTGTAAGTTATGTTTGTCTCACTGTACAAAGAAAGAGATGGATCAGCCAATTTTTTAACATCATTTTGCCATGGTTGCTGATAATCGGCTTTTGGACCTGAATGATTAAATTCAAAATTTGGCGCATTTATATAATATATCCCATTTTCAAGTGATGATGGAGAGATAAACTTGACACTATGAATTTGATGAGATTGTTGCTTCAAACTATCAATCAAATTGTAGCGTATACCTAATGGTCTCCAACCAATAAAATTAACATGAAACCATATTTTATCAATAATTTGCTCGTCCGACGTTCGAAATTCTACAAACAACGGTTCATACGATTGTTGTCTACTATTTAACCAAAATGCTAAACATTTGTTTGCTTTAATATTTAATGCATGAAATAAATCTGGATTCGTGTATATAATAGATGCATTTGTTGATCCTTCCCATGACCATCTTAAACTATCCTCTCCATGTTTAGCACAATTGTTGGATATAGTCAATGAACTGTTTCCATCCGCTTCCCAATATTTTAATTTTTCACTATCCATCGATTATCAATAATCTTTTTTTCGTTCCACCAGTCGGTCCTATTTAAAAAAAGAACAAATAATACACCAACAATGTAAGTTATGCTTTATACACTTTCATAATACCTAAAATCTCACTAACTGGTTTAGAACTCACACTTTATCTAGCAGAGTAACAAGGGTAATCCTTTTGACTATTGATAGTATCTACTTAGTATCTTCAACGAAATTCCCCTCATAGTGGCATAATCAGGATTTCTACCTATCGGATCCATATTCATTAGTTCAACAAAACGCACTGACTCATGTTTTCGAACCTGTAACTGAGAAAAATTGCAAATTTTCAAAATCTCATTTTATTACTAATGATTCTACTCTAAAGGTGACATTGTCCTGTCATGCTGCAAGTTTTTTGTAGCGTATAAAAAGTACTATTTTGCTTTTTTTGTATTGATTATGGATGTGTTTTCGCACCGTACAATCATTCGCATACTTTTGTACAAAAAGAAATACCTTTCATGTGAAACAGGAAAGAACAGAATATACATCTTTTTGTAGCCATTTATTATTATTCTCAAATCATTAATATTGCGCCGAAATAACCCGATAAAATGAATAAAAACGTGCAATAACAACTCTACAGTGTGTTTGATAGAGAACTAAATAAAAGAGGCAAAAAAAAGTACTTGTACGTGTATAGAATAGATAGAGGAGTAGTTCGAAATATCATCGATCAAAGTTTGTAGGAAGTGTATATCTACTAATACTTTTAGTTTTAGCGAAGCAATGCGATTTGTGAGACGAATTTGACCTGTCTATGCAAAAAAAGGTGAAATATGAAGGCTAATTTTTTTCCACACATCTAGAAAAATGAACAAAAAATACAATATGATGGTCTTATTTAAAGACTGTCCACCACGTTCATGAAATCTACTGACACATTCTAACAACGAATTTCGAAGGTATTCAAAAACAAGATTTTCATGCACATTGAAACAGATTATTAAGACAGACAATTTATTCAGTCACTATATATAGGTCTTAAGCGGGGCTGATTTAGAAATCATCATACATTGTATGAAAAATAAAATCAAGTTCTGTTCCTTTTTTCAACAAGTGTATATTTTTCTAGTTGTGATTCATACAATACACGTATTTCATTGAAATTGTTTTATTTCATTTTTATTCCAAATTTCGCCATGCAAAATATTATTTTATTCAACAGAACAGATGTGAGAGTAAGAGAGAGAGAGAGAGTAGAAATACAAATACATACATACAAAAGAAAAAGACAAATAAATAAAAACGCTCAACTAAAACATACCTTAAAAAACGAACATTCACAGTATTATGCATGAAAAAAACGAAACTGTGTAGTCACTTGTACATGGAATGGCAAAAGAGAAAATTATTTTTTGATATAATTACACAAAATATTAGAACAAAAAATAAACTGAAACACAAACATATTTCATGTTTTTATCGACCCTGTAAATCTCTCGTCATCAATGTAGCAAAGATTGTCATAATCATTTTTTGTTTTCCTAATAAATAGAAAACAATAATAATAAACAAATTTTAAGCAATTATTAGAGCACAATGAAGAAACATACCTTCAACAATATCCTCGGGCAATGCATATACACGTGCACCTATCTTTCGTGCTATAGAAATACAGTAGCGCGCATTTTCCATTGAATCCTAGATGAAAATAACTTTCTGTTTATATCAAAGATAAAATAGCAAAGAAATTTCTTACATTTTTTAATAAATTATATTGAATTGATCCTGGTTTAATAGCATCTATAAGATCACATATTAGTTTGGCATCGACTAAATCAGGATCTTGAAAACTTTTTAAAAATCTTGTTTTATTAGCACTTTTTAACTAAAAAAAAACACAAATAATCAATAATAATCATGTTTTAGAGATACAATGATTACTCCATACATACTTTATTATTTGCCCAATCGATAATTTCACGATCGGCTATAGGCGTATTTGCACCAGCTAATTTTGTTAATAATGATAATGTGTAAGCACGCATTATTTGCCAAACAAGACCCAATGTTAATGTTTTATTACTATCCAATAAATCTGCACCACCAATACCCGTTAGTTTTAAACGCATCGGCTCTTTACCCAATTCAACGGCAAAATTACAATTATCTACAATCAAAATATATTTATATACTTATTAATCTTCCCTATTATGTATTTCTTACTTAATTTTTGAAAATGTTCTTTTATAGTCTGAAATTTTTCATAAATTTTTTTCCAATCAACTGTGTCTGGACGAATTTCATCGTATAACTAAAAACAATATATTTAACTAAAATTAACTCGAAAATATTTATCTATTACTTTTAGTATAATTAGACCATCGGATAGATCAGAATATAAATAATTAACAAATGATGTATCTCTTAATTCCATTGAATTAATCCAATTTCGATAAGTTTTTTCTTCACGTGTTTCCTGTACAATAATTTCGTCTACAGGACGGTCGACTGGTACGTCTAATGCAGGATATGAATTAAATAAATTTGCAACAAATCTGCAAAAATTAAATTGAAATAAATATAAAATTGAAATGAATAAATATATATTTTGATACATACGCAAAATTTAATTTTGGATTTCCCTTAACCACATCGTTTGGAGATATAAATGCACGTGCTTTTATCTTATCCGCTTCTTTTAACATTAGTTCAGCACGAGATCGAAGATCATTTTCCTAAAATTATACAAAAAAATTTGAATTTCTCTGGGTTTTCTTTGCAGCATACTCATTTAGATAAACGAGTCATTTAGATATTCGAGTTAAAATAAAACTCCGCTTTATAGTGAGTTAATATAGATGCATAGATTATAAGATATTACTGTAAGTAGGGACTGAGAATATTTTCTATATACTTGTATGACAACAGGGTAATGAAGTGATAATAACAAAAAAACAAACAAACAAAGATGCATAATGGAAATAATTCGCATAAAAACGTGCATGTTTGAGATCAAGCACTCTAATATATTACGTGCTATATACTCATAGGTTAGTTACCCATTAGACAGTTAGTTAACTTGATTTCTGTAAAATGATAAGAGCTAATGTTGTTGTTTTTTTTGTTATTTTTTTCTTTATTTATTAAATAAACTTTACCTGCAATGGACTCAATGATAATGCTGGATTTGTATTCGCTGGTGCAATTTGTTGCAAAAGATAAACATAGGCTTCTGAATTCTAAAAAACAAAAGTAATATTAATTAACATTATTGATTGTTTATTTTTTAATGATTGATCGATAATCTCGCCAACCTTTATATCATTGCTAAAATTCGTAACTTCTTTTCCTTTATAACTTGATCGTTTTAAATGATAATTAACCCATCTTAATAGAAGATCTTCCGGAGATAATTTTAATAAATCTTCAGGTGTTTCACCGTCACGTAACAATTGTAATAGACCAGGTACATTAATTAAATTAATATCATATGTTAAACCAGCCTATAAAATAAATGAGAATATTGTAGAAACAACAATATAATCATACTTTTATATAAAATATACTCGAATAATTTGCCATAATAAACCCAAAATAAGATGCGGTATTCCTCGTGATATATTTTCAACATGAATATTAATTACTTTACATCCGATACCTCGTGCTGAATTAATAGCTAAAAATAATAAATTAAAAAAATCAGAATAAATAAATATTGAAA